GTCCGAATAAATTATCCGATTGCTTTAAAGCTCCGATACTTTTATATTAAATTGATTAAGTCACTGGACACTTCATCATGTGAATTTTTTTTTTGCATAATAAAAAGTGGGCAATTTTTCCGCTCTGTACTTAGCCCTGAGTCATATATGGGAGATCAAGTCTATAATTGAATCCATTAGTCTCTTATCGAGCCTGGTATTTCTGCCCGAAGTCGATGTGAGCAACTACCCGACATCCTTATATTGTCTAATAGAAACGATCATTTATTAGTCAATTCCCTCATTTTACAATTACCGTATTCCCCCGAAATAAGCACCGTTTTTTATTATAGAGGTGCTTATTTTTGGGTATAATATCTGATGATTTGACATTGAATTGTTTACTTTCGGGGAATGCTTATTTTCGGAGGAATACGGGTATAACATATTTAATCAAATAAGTAAATCTCGTAAACACCGCTTAAAGTATCGAAAGTCCTTATACTGCTTCCAAAGATGGTTTCTTAAATTAAATTCAAAAGGTTGCGACAAACTGCAAATTCTCTAAATTCTCTATAGTAATAATAAAAAGAGATTACAATTTTACGGGTACAAAATTTTCAATATAACGATATTAACTTATGTATAGGTAATTTTGCAGTAAAGTACGTATAATCGGCCGCGTAAGCAGCCGATTATACTTTACTACAAAATTTCGTTTATATCGCCATCCACGTAACATAACTTTCATGAATTTATTTTAGAGCGAAACCTTTATTTTTTTTTTTTTGACACTAAAGACTAAGGTTGTTCTCAAGCAGCTCCCTCGATGTAATTTGCAAGTGATCGAGTTGCTGCTCAATCATTTCGATTAATCGAAATTAATTGAAGTGCTCCCTGTAACAATTTTGCCGAAAATTCATTGTGCGAAATGCGGATTTTAAATTTCAGCTAATTAGTTAGCTCCAGGTTTTTTCGACCGAAATGATTAAACACGATTTATTTTTTCAGCCAATCGGATCACTTTATCGATCATAGAGGGAGGTGCTTGAGAACAACCTAAATAGGATAATATATACGATACTTAACGTTAATCAAATATATAGATATGTATAATAGAAATAGGTACATGAAAAAAGTTACGTAGATATGGTTAACCAAGGGATAATTATACTTATGTAGTATACATTTAATACAATTTCTCATGTCTAGTGCTAGTGATGCTAGTAGTTTAGCCGGGCACTAGTTTGACTCGAATTTAAACCGTTTTCGAATCAAACCATCCGAGTTTATCGCGTCATTAGTCAGTTCAGAACTTTAAACTGCAAGTTTATGTTAAAGGATTGAACCTCTAACCTAAACCTGTAACTTAGGGTTTAGGATGGCAGCTGTTTTCATAATTCTGGGACTGAAAAATTTTCCGGTGACCGAATTGATAAGTTACGGAGTTGGAACCAATAAATCATCCAATGTCGACCGAAACCAGAAACTTATCGATTCAGTTTTGTAATTTTTTCATTTGTCCTAAAACAGTTGTAATACTGCCTAATAGTGTTTTTCGGTCCGGTCTTAATCCACTCAGCTTACGAATATAATTCAAACCGAAATTAAAGCTGGCAAATTCGAATTATGTTCTGGAAAATTGAATTAAGATTTTTACTACGAGTGATATAATATATTAAACAAGATATTTTGCAAGAAAAAAGCACGAGATTATATTTAACTTAACAGCGTATAACAAAATATCGGTTCCGGGTTAACTTCCCGAAGCCCATTTTTCTGAAACACCATTTCACCGAAGTCGTAATACTGACAATCAATTTTACTAACAGGACATAGTTGGATCCGTGTCATTTCACTGACAATCAATTCACCGAGAAGTTTATTTCACCGACAAGTTTTTTTAAAAATTGCACTAACCTTAACTTTAATTCTAATCTAACCCTAATGACAATGACCGGAATTACCTTTCGGTAAAATGACGCACCTAGTATCGCCACCAAAATCAGGAACGTAATACGGAACTTAAAATTATTGATATTAAAATTAATGGTTAATAATATATACAATAATAAAAAATTTTTTTACATGGAAAATTATTTCTTCGAATTTATCGGTAGTATTTTCTAAAATGGAAAGTATGCATTCTGCGCACAAATGTTCGTCCTGTCGAATCGTGAAACTAGGGATGTTAATCGGTCCCGCAATAATTATCAGCTGACTTTGAACAAGATATGTAGAATATTTTTAACTAGTATTCGTTCAATAAGTAAAGTTATTTCTTTATAACAGTCTAATAAAAACATATGGTTACGTCCAATTGACGTACCGTCACGTCAAAAATGTTACAATGACGTAGGTCGTAATAACTGACATTTGCCGTAATCTTGATTCAGTAGTTACACCAATATAAAAGTTACACCAAAAGTTACGTCATTACAAAGATATAAAATGTTATAACAAGATGATTACGTCAAATATGTATTTAATAATTTAATTTTCACTGCTTGACCAGACTTTATTATTAACGTTGAAGAAAAGGAAAATAAATTCGCTATCTCCAAGATTCTAGCATAATAACTTATGTAAATAAGGACGACTACATAGTAAATGTTTTATATTTTACAGGGTAGAATCAAGAATTTTATATCAAACGAAATAATAAATAATGTTAATTAAACTTATATAGCCTAAAAAAACCATTCAAAGTCAAAGATCTTCATGTGATGAAGCCTATCTCTACTATTAATGTCTAAAGATTTGTTAATTACATGGTTTTTACTAATAAGTCATTACATATAAGCAGACATAAAAGAAATTATAAAGCAAGCCTTTACTACAAAGCAAGTAATAGCAATAATTACCTTAAAGATACAAAAAAAAAACTTTCTAAATATCATTACCTTTTTTTTTACTATTATTTATATGCAAAATCTCTATACTTGCCACACTACCAACTTCTAATATTCATAATAAGTATTTAAGTTTGTAGAATTTATATTATATTTCTCTTAGTAAAATTTATTTATTCATATATAAAGATTTTTATATTTGATAATTTGTTAAATTTAAAGTTATATTTTATAGTTTAGACATCATTAGAAAAATAAATATAGTACAAATTTGCAAAGATCTGCTATCCTGAAAAAATTAAAAAATTTTATATAATATCTTGTAATCTAGTTCGAAATTTAATAATTTTGGTATTATTTGATTTATCTCAATAAGACAGTTTAAATGATACCAAAATTGTTGAGTTTGATTACTATATTATAAGATAATTGTCATAGTATTATGCAGTACCTACGTGACTAGTGATCAGATATGTGTTGATTAAATATTGTAATCTAATTAGATGTTCTATAGAATTGGTGGGCAAACTTTGCAAACTCCGCAACTCCAATATTAAAAAATTAATGATTACTAATTATTAGCAAAGCTTATTTCTTATATTGCCCACCTATTCTATAGAATATCTATCTAATTAATTGGGTAATCATTATTTAATTAAAAGTCTAAAATAGTAATTGCATAAACAATGTAGTAATCAATAGTGATTAGTAATAATATATAAGGCATTAATCCAAATAGAAAAGTATCTAACTTTTGTTCTTGTTATCTCTTAGAATTATTTTTAGTGAATAAATTATTATTTGTGTAAATACTTTGTTAGTAGTAGTATCTGGTATGATATTCTAGTTCTCATTTATTAGCCAAGTGAAGAAAGACCAATAGCAAAAGTCAAGTAATATACAGTTAACTATAAAACATCATGATATAAAAGACCTGGGCAAGACATAGTCTTGCTTACTGCAATACATTAGAAGCTGTTAGAATTGTGCTAAGTGCAAGGTTAGAAAGGTTTTACTAGCTATAATCAGTGACTTTGAAGTGTCTTGGTAGTAAGAGATATTTTTTTTAACAGAATTGAAGTTTGAAAAGAATAGAATATAAAAATTACTTAGTAGTATCAGTGAAAAACATTGTAGAAATGATAATTAAAGAGATTATACAGAACCTGAAAATTTTTTAGAGAAAACAACAAAATATAGATCATATTTGTGTTATGTGTATCATCATAAAAGGTACTTGGTTTGTTTGTATTCTTTGGAAAATCAAGTTTAGGACCCTTGCTTAAATACTAAGTGTATAGAAGTACATTATGTAGAATTTAGTGGTAAGGGCTATGGAAATTTGAAATATAATAGAGAAAGAGTGATGAGACAAAAGTTGATGATAGTATAATGATGGAAAAGTTGATAAAGATAAATGAAAAATCAGCAAAAGTATCAATTAGAACAAGTTTATATATGGATCTGATAAGTATAAATTATGTAAAAAAGAAAAAGCTTATCTAGAGACATTTAAATAAAGGATTGACTATTGGTCAGGTAGATAATAAAGCTGTCGGATATATTTCTGATATTGAAGTTGATATTAATGACATTAAAGTGGTTTAAAAGTTTCATGTAAAGTGTGGATTATATTATAACATTGTTCTTGAAATACTATAGATCGCAAGATCTAGATGTAATATTTAATACAAAGGTAATCAATATTATTATACTATTGAATTAGGTTATAAAAAAGCAATATTCATGATTTTTGATGAAAATGTCTTAGATAAATATGTGATAGATAAAGGTAGTATAATGAAGAATAATGATTAAAGAGAGAACAAATTTTTTTTTTTTTTT